AAAAAGTTTTTGAAGGTAGGGGAGATTACAAATAGCTTTGCAAAGGTCACATTCCTGTGATCACTCTTTCGATAGAAAATATTTAAGTTCCTTGTAATTATTACCGTCACATGCACTCAGCTCTTGTGAAATGGAACAACCTGGGAATGTAACTGAAAGAGAAGGAGCCTCATTCATCCTATGGCCTTGGCCAGGCACACGAGAATCAGTGATATTTTGGGTGAACAAAAGAATGGCAGGGCCGGGCGGTGGTGGCGCACGTCTTTAATCCCAGCACTCGGGAGGCAGAGGCAGGCAGATCTCTTGTGAGTTCGAGGCCAGCCTGGTCTACAAGAGCTAGTTCCAGGACAGCCTCCAAAGCCACAGAGAATCCCTGTCTTGAAAAACCAAAAAAAAAAAAAAGAATGGCAGGACTGGAATCAGTGTTCCAGTGACTGTCTAGAGCCCTTCTAATACGTCTACATCCACACACGGAGCTATGCTTTGACTATATGCAAATTTAAAAAATGTAAAACTAAAATTGAGATCACAGAAGGCAGCATTCCGCCAGAAAGCAGATCCTACTAGACAAGGCCCAACACATCACCATGCCCTATCTCTCAGGACCTGTGTGCCCAAGTCATTGCACCTCACAGGATCCAAGCCACCATCTCATCTCTCGTCATAAGATCTGAGGATCCAGGTGACCTCACAGGACCTGAGGAATGATGTAATCCACCTTTCAGGACCCACAAAACCAGAAATGTATATCACAAGACATGGGATCAGGTCATACCATCTCAGAGGACCGGAGAGTCCATGTCATTCCACTTTACAGGACTTGATATCCCATGACCTCCACACTCGTGCTGTGCAGCACACTCATGCCTCCCCATGCCCCATGCACACACAAACATGCATATGTACATACAGTCAACACAGATGTAAGAAGATTAACTGTGAGATGGAAAAATGCCTCAACAGGCAAAGACTCCTGCAGCCAGGACTGACAGGTTGAGTCAGTCTTGTAACCCTGGAGCCTGCATGGAGGAAGGAGGGAATCAATGCCACAAAGTTGTCCTCTGACTGCCACATGGTAGCTACGGCTCTTACACACACACACACACACACACACACACACACACACACACACACACACACATACACACGTAGATATAATAGTAATTTTATTTTGTTTAAGATCAAATGAGCCAGGCATGACAATGCATACCTTTAATCTCATCCTTCAAGAAGTAGAAGTAGTCAAATCTCTGTGATCTCAAAGCCAGCTTGCTATTTATAGCAAGCTCCAGACAAGCCAGGGCTGCATAGTAAGACCCTGTCTCAAAAAAAAAAAGTCAGGTGAAAAAGTTTCCCGATTTGACTTTGGAATCACAGCCACCCTATGCAATAGGTAGCTCCGTCCTTGATGTTCTGTAGCCCTGATGGCCAACCCTCATGCGTTCCTGAACTGGCAACCTTGTGATTTTTCTGTCAATCTAGCTTTAGGCCAAAATTATTGCTGTGCTTGGTACTTAGTGTCCCTGTGTCCTGTCGTAGCTGAGTGGGGTAGAGGCCTCTGCTTGTTACACTGGCCTAAAGTTCTTTTGGGTGACAATAATCTGTCAAATGAATGTGCCATACTGCCTATTAGGACATCCAAAAATAAACAAAATGGCTAACTGGGGAGTGGGGTTGTATGATGTCCCACACTTCAGGAATCTGTCTGTGTAGGACCATGCTGTGGACTTTCTCGGGAACACAGGGCTGAGTGTGGCCCTGGTTTTCTAGGAAATAAGGCATATAAACAGGACCTTGCTACATGCAAAACCCCAGGGATAACAAGGGCCACATTGCCTTGAAGATGGATGTATTGACTGGAGATATACCACAGAAGTAAATGACAACCTAGCGTACACAAGGCCTTGGAGTCTATCTTGGGGTGAGAGTAGAGGGCATCTACGCAGGTCTTCCTACGAGACCAGGCTGCTGGAGCCTCTGGGAGCTGGTTGTTCCTGGATGTGCAGGGAATTCTATTCTTCCCCTTCTGTTTCCTCCATCTCTGGATCTGTCATCCAGGGAGGTGTCTATGGCCTAGAAATGTAGCCCATGAGAAAGTCATTCCTTAAGCCATATGCTGAAACTGTAGTAATACAAGGGCCACCATGGTCCTCCATGCTGTGCCACCATTCACTGTCCCTAGCCTCAACCCTAGGTGACGGGATATATAGTTGGGCCTTTTTTGGGAGGACTGGGAGAAGAGGGCAGTGGCACAGAGCACCAAAGATGTGTGTTGAAGCTTCAAAAACAGGTTGGTGGGCGCTCTCTGCATGGCTCCGACCTTTGTGGGCCACACTCCTCCTGGTGCTCCACTCGACCAGGAGTAAATTCAGGTGTTCTGAGATATTGACGTCTTGATGTGAATTCTCAGAGCTTCCTCCCCCCGCCCCCCAGTGGTTCAAAAGAAACAGTTCCCTCTGAAAATGGTGGCTTTGGCCTGCAGTCACAGCCCTGAGGAGACAGAGGCAGGAGGATGCTGAGTTTGAAGTCAGCCTGGATGATAGCAAGACCCCCCCTCTCTCTCCTCTCTCTATCAAAAAGACACTTTGTTGTCTTCTTCACTTAGTTTGCACTCATACCGCCCCCCACCCGTCCCACTAATCCCACCCCACTGTATTCTCAGCAGATGGGGGTACCCTTGGCCACAGCAGCAGCTCCTGGAGCCCTTCCTAGGCTGATCACCCCCAGGTCACTAGGTCACTAGGTGACATTAATCATGCTGGGTACTGGTTATCCCATGTGGGCTAAGCAGGCTAGAGGCACCCTGGAGCTTGCTACTTGATAATACAGATTTGGTGGATCGTCTTTTCTTTTTGGCCCCAAGACAGGGTCTCTCCGTGTTGCCCTGGAACATGCTCTGTAGACCAGGCTGGTCTTGACCTCACGAGATCTGCCTGCCTCTGCCTCCTGAGTGCTGGGACTAAAGGCATGTGCCACCATCACCCAGCCTTGGTGGGTTTTCAGTGTGAAGCTATTAAGTTAAGCCAAGGAGAAGCTAAGCAAGGATCCAAAGTGTCTTGTCTACAGCCATTCTGTCATTTTCCTTAGATACAGGCCTAATACGCTTTAATGCTCTTGTCTGATGTTTCCAACATCCTCGTCAGTTATGAGTCAGTTTCAACTGATCAGGCTTTTGGTTTGTTTTTTTCCATCATGACTGGTTATATGTGTGTCTGGTATTTGGGAGGAGGGATCCCCCCCCCACACACACAAGGTCTATGTAGCCTCTACCCTCCCACATAGCCCAGGATGAACTTGAACTTCTGGCCCCCCTGCCTTCTCATCTGAGTGATTACAGGGTGTACCACCACATCCAGTTTAGAGCTGGGGATTGAACTCAGGGCATACATACTATGTAAGCCCTCTACCAATTGAGCTACACCCCCTGGCCTGCCTGGCAATTTTTGATTAGATGCCAGGCATTGTGTTTTGCTTTTTCCATGCTAGATGCTAGATATTACAGTTTTCTTCAAGGATAAAATTAAATTGTAAGGAGTTTGGCCTTCCTGTAAAGATTTGTTAAGTGGGATGGCAGGGTGGGCCACTGGAAGGGCAGTAATTGATCTCCCACCACCAAGGCAAGGCTCCCCTGAGTTCTGGATCTGGCACCCTGCAGATCTGCAGTTTTCAGGTTGGACAGCGATCACAGGAACCTGCCCTGGGTAGGTGTTGCAAATGCTCCCCTTTGTCCATGCTTCTGAAGTGTCCTGGGGGCATCTCTGCATCTTTTTCTGTCAAGCTCTCACCTTTGTCCTGTCAGCCCTACTCAGACTTCATAGTTAACTGGACATCTTCTCTTCTCTGAGAGCCCACTGGGCTCTCCTTCCTGGTTCCTGGCTCGCAATCGTCCTTAGTCATTCGAGACAGCAAGCAGTCTCACCCACTGGTTCCCAGGTATCAAGGCTTGTGAGGCTCTGCTGTCTGATGTGTGGGGTAAACTCTCCTTTGTACGGTATATAGTTACAGACTGCACACCACTTGCACTGGGCATTTTCCTCTCCATTTGATGTTGGCTCCACTAAAAATAAATCCAGTTTCTGAGCTGAACATGATAGCGTACACCAAGCATCCCAGTATTTGAGAGGTAGAAGCAGAGAGCATTGAGGTTTAAAGGCCAGTCTTGACCTTTAAGTATAACAGGTTTGTCACCAGCCTGAACTACATGAGAACCTGTCTCAGAAACAAAGATGAGGTGGGAAGATGGCTCAGTGGCTCAGATGCTTGCTGTACAATGTGACAATCTGAGTTTGGGTCCCCAGCACCCACATAGAAATCTGGGCATGATAGCCAGTTCCTGTAACCCCAGTGCTGGGTAGATGGACAAAGAAGATCCCTGGACTTGCTTGCTGTCTAGCCAGTCTAGCCAAACTGAGTTCCAGGTTTAGTGAGAGGCCATGTCTAAATAAGACGGAGAGTGACTAAGCATGACACTCAGTGTTGACTTCTGGCACGCACACAAACACAAACACATGTCTTGACCAGAAGCACAACTCCCCTGCAGTGGGGCCAAGCCAGCCTCTACTCTGCCAGATCACAGCCTCTGACCACACAGAGGCTGAACTCAACTCACATTCCTCCTAGAGCTTTTTATTGCTGTGTCATGTCTGCCTTCTGGAAACTTGCATTTTATCTCCCATGCTATGAGAAGAATGCAGAAAAACATGTATTTTCTGTTTGGAAGTCTAACGTTTCTGTCCAGCGAGGCTGCTAAGAATGTAGCATGAATTCTAGTTACTGTTTAGCTTGCTACCATCTTGGAACATGCTCAACAAACATCTTTCTTGCTGAATTTGACAGGTAAATTCAATTACAGTCCAGCTATTACAGATGTTTGGACACCTAAGACGCACTTGGCCTTGCGGCAGTGTTATATAGTAACTAGAGTAATAAAGCTATTTCCTTTAAAAAAAAAAAAAAAAAAAAACAGAATGTGACGCTGACCAATGAAAACTGTCTTCCTGGTGAGACTTTGGAGTCTACCCCAAGGTAGTTTAGCTACAGGAAGGTGAGAGCTCAGGAGCCTATGTGGGTGGGAGGAGCTCTGTCTGTTGGCTGCCAGAGACAGGGGAAGCCACTGACTGTGTGTGTGTGTGTGGCAAGGCAGTCAGGTGTAGCTCCAGGTCAAGGACAGACATCTTCTCCCTGTGCACACAAGAGTGTGAGGCTGGCGTCTGCACCCATGGTTCCAACTCTGCTCTCCGGAGAAGGAGCTGTGGGCCAGGGACTATCTGAGAGGGAGGGAGGACCAGCATGTGCATCGAGCTACAGAGTATCCAGCATAGGAACAGTGTGAGTATGTTGACCGTGAGTGTTTGTGTGTGGTGTGTGTGTGTGTGTGTGTGTGTGTGTGTGTGTGTGTAGCACTATGTGAACGTGCCACTGTGTCTAGCAGAGTGTGAATGTGTGAGTTACTGTGTGAATAGCAGAGCTACTGTGTGTGTTTAAGATCGCTACTGTGTGGAGACTTTTCAATGAGTTGCTAGGAGTGTCTCTGAGTGACAGTGTGGACTAGGGAAGATTGTGATGTGCCAGCTCTCCTAAACCTGGGCGTTGCCTACACATTCCAGCTGATCCCTGGCTTCAGGGCGCTGCTCACACATGGGCACCAACCCCAGCGCCATCCTGGCCTTCTTGGGTCACATGTGTGGCCTCAGAAACTGACAGTGAGCCTTTCTTTCTGTGCCCTCCTCCATCTATCTACCCTGAGGAAGCCTGTGTTCTGCCCTGCGTTTGCTGTGGTGGGTGGGGACTAAGATGTCTTTCTTCAGCTCCTTACACTAGAGCTGGGCTTTGGCTCTTTCAAACATCATTCTCTTTTGTTTTTGTTTTTGTTTTTTTTTTTCCAGTACTTTCTAAACAGCTCCACTTGCAATGTCTGGGCAAGAGATTTTCAATAGCCAGTTCTAGTCTCTGTTGGGCAATCCAGAGCCCAGGAGGAAGCAGGCACCTGCCTGTCAATCTCTGTCAGCCTCATTGGGCAACAGCATTGGGCAACAGGTAAGTGACTGTTGTCTGTAGCCCCCTTGTTCCTCTGAAATTGCACTTTAGTATCAAGAAGATTATTTCAGAGATGGTTTATCTCCCTCTAGTCAAGTCTCACCTTTGACCCTCCTCAGAGCTGTTGATGAATCCCTTGAGCTGGGAGAATTGACTCTTGACTCTGTCTCCTGTGTGGTGTGCAAGTTTCACGTGAACTGCCTATAGTGCCCAGGTCATTGGCTTCATCTCCTAAGAATGTCAGGGTTTAAAAAGCTGTGCGGACACAGTTGTGTGTTATAAATAGAAGCTGCCACCCTTCTACTGGGTGTGTCGATGTTTCAGGAATGTTTTTTAAATGTATTAAACAGCCAGTAGCCTCTCATCCTAGGAACTCCACACAGTATTCTACAGGATTCCTTCTGTGTGGGTGAGATGGTGTACATCCATCCATGTGCGCACAAGTGCGTGCGTGCGTGCGTGCGTGCGTGCGTGTGTGTGTGTGTGTGTGTGTGTGTGTGTGTGTGTGTGTGTGTATGTGTAGGCCAGAGGTCACATCGGTTTTTTTGAATCAGGGTTTCTCACTAGAACTCATTCTTTTGGCTGGCACTGAGTTCTGAGGATCCAACTGTCTCCACAGGCCCCACCCCTGCCTAGCACAGGCATTACAGGCAGTCACCACCACCACCACAACTAACTTTTGATGCCGGGGCTATGTGTCTGAACTCAGGTCCTCATGTTTGTACAGCAGCAAGCACTTTACTCACGGACTCCCCAGGCCCAGGACTTCTTTATGTAGGTAAAAACCTTACTTTTCAGATGAAACACATTCCCTTTGCCATTCTCTCAAAGCCTGTCTGGATAGGACCCAACTGAAGCCAATGGGGTGTTGTGAAGTAATATTTCCCACACAGCCCCAGCCTGTCCTGTTGTCTGACTGAGGTTGACTCTCTGGGGGCTACATTCAGTGACTGTACTGATCAGGCATCTTTCTCTCCAACAGGAAGTCCCTGACCAGCTTCCTAGCAGAGCCCAGGGAGTTTGGCTGTGAAGATGGAGTTGGGTAGAAACTCCTCAACTCCCAGAGAAACCATTGCTCCTCTTGGTGCTGGGCCCAGAAGCTCTCCACTGGGGAAGCTTCAAGTACTTCCCATTGGGCCAGGTGCCCACCTAGGGGCTCCTGGCAGCCCGGCTTCTGCAGGGGACAGCTCCTTGGGTGAGCCAAGTGACGCCATGAAGATCCCCAACAGGGACAGTGGGATTGACAGCCCATCATCCAGTGTGGCCAGTGAGAACTTCCCCTGTGAAGAGGGCAGTGAGGGCTCCCCAGGCCCTGCCATACTGGGGCTACACCCTGAGACAGCTGTGGACAGCCAGGTCCCACAAGACACCACCCCCCAGGAGGAGGAAGATAGCGGTGTGGGTGAGGAGCCTGATCCTAAGATCACCGCTTCCAGGCCAGAGGAGAATGTCGGCTTGACTCAGGTAAGCTTCCCTTCCTCCACATTAAACACAGGGTGCCTGGACAGCACTAGAGATTTGTAGTGTGTAACACCCACACCTGTGCTCAGGAAATGTACCCACACACTCACTCCACACAAGGGGAATGTCTGGGATGGAGTCTACCAGAGAAGGCTGGGAGGGGCCTCAGATACCTTGGGTGTGCTCATGCATCACAAGTGAATGTGGTTTCTTCCTCACTGGTATGTGTGTGTGTGTGTGTGTGTGTGTGTGTGTGTGTGTGTGTGTGTGAGAGAGAGAGAGAGAGAGAGAGAGAG